TGACCTTAGAGCTAAAGTACTTTAAACAAAAAAATCAGACAAGATAGATTTGTCATTATCTAGCCATACCCACCCTGGCAGCTTTCACTCAACACAATGTGAGAACACAATTAATGGCACACATTTTTGTTCCGTATTTCTCCTGTGGACTTGCATTCTGAATGGTTGACACTTTCTCACTCAAGCAGCCTTTGTTCTGAGGCCAGTCCAGTCGAGAATGGTCTGGAGAAAATGGTGCCATGGAGAGTTGATCTGCCTAACACTCGACACTCAGAGAAAAGGCAGATTACAATCAGACTGCAACTGGTGATATTAGAATTTATTGAGTTGAGTCAGGAATTGACATCACAGCACTCGGGACAATCCCATGCATGCTCCGTCATCATCTTCAGCGGCCAGCGCAGAGTTCCAATACTGATGGTACCGGTCCCAATCTGGTTATATGTCCGTCTTGCCTTTCCTCTGAGTGTAGTGAGCCGGCCAGACCCCCTGGTTACACCCAGGTGCCTCATTCTCTCCAGGCCATAATAATCTTGTTTTTCTACTGATTCTGCTGCTTGTTCCCAAAAGGCCTTGACTACATCTGCCTTGTCATGTATCAGCACACCACCCAGGGGTACAGATCCAGCGATTCTGTCTCTCTGTTCATTACCCACTACCGCTGGCATGGCCTGGAGAAAAGATCCAAAGTATGCTCCCAGTTTAGACTTGAAACTTATATAAACAGCTCCTGTCTGATAAGAGTGGGAGATGTTATTTACCCCCTACTGTTTCTTTGTTCAAGGACAAGTCAAAGCTCCAGGCTGCAGTCAGTGGTATCACCTATGAATATGGGAACACAAACACAGCTGCAGGAATCAAACTGGTCAGATCCAGCCTGTTTTCACAAGCCAAAGGAAACCGACCAGAAGTGGCTGATTACTGTGAGTGCTTAGACTGTTTGTTGTTTACTTTGACCATAGTTTTATTTGTTTTTAACGTTTGCTTTGAATTTTGTAAACACTATAGAAAAGAGAAGGAAAATACTGACAGACCAGTTATTTTTGATATTTAAAATGTTATAATCAATCTTGGCAATATTTAATAGCCAAACATTGACAGACATAAGTGTCAAGAATGAAACAAGTAAATTCTCTGTATATCCCAGTTATAACATGGTTTATAAAATTACTATATTTATGATCAGATGCTCGTGTATGATGCTAAACTGCCCTAATATCTTGTCTCTTGGTCTCTCTCTGCCTCTTCCCCTCCAGCATTTGCATTGTCATCACACTGAAGGTTAACCTTGTGATGTGTGCAAAAAGGGGGAATTCTCTTATTCCTCTGCAAGTAATGAGTTTTCTTTGTGAGTTAAATCTGTCAACACATTCAAGATCTCAATAACATTTTCTGTTCTTTTTAGTGATTATAATTACGGATGGGCTGTCAAATATCAACCATGAAGCCACAATCCCAGAGGCAGAGTACGCCAAGCAACAAGGCATTCACATCTTTGCTGTTGGTGTGGGCATCGGAGACCCCTGGGAACTCAATGCCATCGCCAGCAGCCCCAAGGAGAAAAACGTCTTCCAGGTCAATGATTGGGATGGTCTTTATGGTCTTCCCAATGAACTTGTTGACAGAACATGCAGAGGTAATATAATGTTGATCATAGACAGGTTCGTTGGTAATGATAATGATAACCCCCCAAGAAGAATTTAGAAAATGTTTGTGCCTGCGAAACAAACATCCAACAAGAATGCCCTGCTACCATCTGCAAAAAAACAAACAAAAAACGTTTTGACATATATCTCTATTTATGTGTTGTTTTAAAAATTTTTTTATTCTCTACATTTTTCCTTTATATATATATATAGGGGGTTGAATTGAAACTACTGTCTTTGCGGGCAAGGGTTCCAACCATTGTACGTAAAGGACTCTTATCCATGCTATTAGGCATATTGGGCAAATAGCGCTATATATATTTTGTACACCTATCTGCACTCAGTGGTGATGTGATCACTATCACACAGGCCGCGGGCGGGCGGGCGGGCGGGCGGGCGGACGGGCGTGCGTGTGTGTGAGTGTGTAAGTAAGAAGAGTAGTTGATAAACATTGAGTGAGGCATTAGATGGAATACATTTCGTAGGGCTTTAAACAAAAATGTATAGAGTGACTAATACCGTGACCCTATGACCTCTATCCCTGAGGCTTTTGGAAAAGTCTTACATCAGCTTGGCTTTAAAAGCCACTGGGATCATAAGGAAACCCCTTTAAAGCTATGTTAGTTACTATTTTCACATCCGGACCTCCAAAACAATGTGTAGGTGCACATAGAACCAGTGGCACTTAATTGTGCTTTTCGGGAACAGGTCAGTGCAGAAATGTCAGTATATTATATATTATATCATTTAAAAGGCGGCGCCACAACCAAAAGTGGCTAGATCTGCATTTTCGGGGCAAACGGTTAATGAAGCCTTCATCCTCTTGTTCAGCATTTTTTGCTTTTGAGGTTCATTGCTGCAGCTATAACTAGCTCCGCCTCCTCCCCCATTTCATCTCTGTTTTTGGCCTTCTATAGTTAATTGGTAACTCCAAATGTTTGTATGTATCATCATCATCATCAGGTGCCTTGCCGACTGGCGTGGGCGATCATGCCTCTCCATAATCCGTGATCTCCTGCAGCATGTATCAGTTCGTGTGCCAAAACACCTCCATGCCATGCAACAAGACTGTCAAGCATCTTCTCTCGTTGTCTTCCTCTATTCCTCCTTCCACAGATCTTTCCAGTGGTCACAACATGTTCTATTTTCCCTCTTCTCATAACATGGCCGAAAAATGATGATTGTCTCCTTCTGATGTCAGTGATAAGTTGTCTTCGGGCTCCCGCCTCTTTTAAAACCTCTTGGTTGCTCTTTTTGGCTGTCCAAGGTATTCTAAGCATTCTTCTGTAAAACCACATCCCTAAGGCCTCTAAAAATTGTTTGGCCTGCCTACCGATTGTCCAGGATTCACATCCATATGTTAAAACTGGATGTATATAGCAAGCAAGAATTCTTTTTCTTTTTGTATGTATATAAATTTATAATACCTTCGTCTTCTTGATCTGCATCATGGTCTACTCCCATGAAACTCTTTTGTGTACTTTTGTGTACACAGTTTATGTCTCATTGTTAAGTGCCTTTTGTTTCTATATGCCCCAACCATGGTAGTCTATTAGCCCTCATGATGCCAGTAATTCATGGTGATTAACTCTTTGAGTCCCAAAGGGTTTAGCATCACAGGCCCAAGGGGTAGTCAAGAAAGACGTAATATTGGCGCATCATGCGTTCATTGGGCTTCTAGACAGTAACCTATGAACATATGATGTGTTCCTTGGGACTCAAAGAGTTAAACAGATCAGGAATTCATTTGCTACTTCTCACTCTCCATTGTAATGTAATTATGGGTAATTATAAAACTTACTTTTTCAGATTCTGGAGTGTGTGCTGAGGACCCATGCAGAAATGGTGGCACCTGTATACCTGGTGTGGGTACCTACACCTGTGAGTGTCAGATGGGATACGTGGGATACGAGTGTGAAATAGGTAAGCTTGAAATAAGATGCCCAGTACGTTAACATAGGTGAATTGTTTGAGCTTTGAGCATTGAAACAGTGCTGTTGGGTGCAGAATATGAGAATCCTCGCATATACTTATTAACAGATTTATGTGACAAGCTGGTTAGCTGTCTTCTTTGGTACATGTTTGTCCTGAACTGAAAGCAAGATTACGCAGATGTGGTATAACAAATGATGAAATGGTTTTTTTTTTTCTGATCTGGTTGAAACTTCTTCTTCTCGTACTCTAGTAACCTCATCAAGATTGTGGGGAGAGATGTAAAGAACATCTTTGAGCTCTTTCTAATTTGTTTCATAAGCTGATCTTCATTTTTTTAAGGCTTGTTTTGACACTGTCACTCCATATTTCATGTGGTATTCTAGAGATACTGTTACTTCATCTCCGTGTGGTATTCTTGATACTGTTACTTCATCTTCGTGTGGTATTCTTTATACTGTTACTTCATCTCCATGTGGTATTCTTGATACTGTTACTTCATCTCTTTGTGGTATTCTTTATACTGTTACTTCATCTCCGTTTGGTATTCTTGATACTGTTACTTCATCTCCTTGTGGTATTCTTTATACTGTTACTTCATCTTCGTTTAGTAGTCTTGATACTGTTACTTCATCTTCGTGTGGTATTCTTGATACTGTTACTTCATCTTCATGTAGTATTCTTGATACTGTTACTTCATCTCTGTGTGGTATTCCTGATACTGTTACTGCATCTCCGTGTGGTATTCTTGATACTGTTATTCCATCTTTGTGTGGTAGTCTTGATACTGTCGTTCCAAATATTGCTTGGTTTTGCCCTAGGTCTTGTTAGCTGTATTTCTCGAGCACGGCTGTTGTGGCAGTTGGTACCAGGACATTCTCGTCAGCTAGCTAAACCACATATTGCTTTATTAGTTTATTGCTATTGTTATATTTATTATTATTGCTCTACATAATGCTCTTCAGTGAAGTGTATAATTTGTTTATGCCCTGGATAAAACATGAATGACCACTGGTGTTAAAGAGGCTTGATAGATAAGGAGACAAGTTGAAGCATTAGGAAGGAGACTTATTACAGACAAGAAAAGAAGACACTGAACTAAAGACTTAACATGAAATATTTGGGATAAATGGCTGAAGAAGAAAGAGAACATGGATAAGATACTTCTTATTCTTCTGTAGTTTGCATTTAAAAGGAACATTATGTTGTTGCTTACAGCTAGACATAGGTATCTATGTATGTCGGCCAGAAGCATTCGATTTCAGCAAACCCGTAATTAGTCGACAGTGAGTTTGCTTCTCGCAATTGAACAACATCGGAAATATAAGTTTTTTACCTTCTCAGGGTAAAAAGGTTAATATTTGTCTAGAAAGAATTAAAAATAAAATAACTCCTTTCTTGTTTGCTTTTCTTTGTTTACAGAATGTGATGCTGACAAAGACATAGTATTTATTCTGGATGCTTCTGCCAGTGTTGGACCTGATAACTTTGAGATCTTGCTGAAGTATGTGTCCTCTATAATTAAAGACTTGACAGCATTTAGACATGGTCATCAATTTTCCCTAGTCACCTACAGCACAGAAGCCAAGACTGTGTTCAGCTTTAACCGCTACAGTTCTCGGGAACAGATCATTGAAGCTGTGGAGACAACGACCTATTCGGCTGGGTCAACTAACACTGCGGGTGGCTTGAGAGAGGCTATTCAGCTGTTTCAAGCAGGTAATGGTTGCAGATAATGAACACAGTTCTGTTGCCTCTCTGCGGCGAATATGTTGATGCATGTAGTGTCTGTTTTATTTCATGTTGTTGTCAGCTGATGAAAGCTTATCAGCCCAACACTATTATTTTATTGTATTTGTTTTTTTAAAGAAAAAACTGGCATATACTTCCACTTCTTTGATTTAATTATAGGTTATAGACATTGGAAATTAAGAATAAAAAAAAAAAACATAATTTGATTCCTCCCTCTGGGATTGAAGCCTGACAGATTAATCCTCAGAGTTTCCAGGTGGATAGTAGCAGACTCAGTAAATATGCTTAAGAAGATCCCAGTAAGTATGCTCAAGTAGATCCCCAGTAAGTATGCTTAAGAAGATCCCAGTAAGTATGCTCAAGTAGATCCCAGTAAGTATGCTTAAGAAGATTCCAGTAAGTATGCTTAAGAAGATCCCAGTAAGTATGCTCAAGTAGATCCCAGTAAGTATGCTTAAGAAGATCCCAGTAAGTATGCTTAAGAAGATCCCAGTAAGTATGCTCAAGTAGATCCCAGTAAGTATGCTTAAGAAGATCCCAGTAAGTATGCTTAAGAAGATCCCAGTAAGTATGCTCAAGTAGATCCCCAGTAAGTATGCTTAAGAAGATCCCCAGTAAGTATGCTTAAGAAGATCCCCAGTAAGTATGCTTAGGAAGATCCACAGTAAGTATGCTTAAGAAGATCCAAACTGGCAAACTTCACCTAGAATGGGTTGACAGAATCCATTAGGTAAGCCTCAGAAAACTATCTTGGCTGTACACCCAAGAGTGAAAGAAAATGAAAGAGCCAACAAACTGGCTTTATCTGCAGTAATTATTGGAAAAAAAAAACAGCAGACCACTTTGCATCGATTTTGACAATAGTGTTGAGAAATGATCATTTAGAAAGCAGAGAAAAACTAATGAAGGTAAAAACTAACCAGTAAAACTACAACAAACAGGCAAAAAATACTGGGATTGTGTTGCAACGCCTTGTAAAAGATATGCAACTAAATATAATACTTATATACACCTTTTAAAAACAAAAACAAAAACAAAATGTGTATAATGTTTGGGACAAAAAGTTTGTTCATTTTTCTTCCTATCTTCCTTGACTGGTACTCATCTCCCCAGTCTGTGTTCTGCTTGCCTCCTCTTTTCGCATGTTCAGTGTTAAAAGTATCTATTTGCTACATTTATGCTTCTAGATTTTGGAGACCGACCATCTGCCAAAAATGTGGCCATTCTCATAACTGATGGACAAAGTAATGTCAACTACTGGGACACAGTGCCAGCTGGCAATGATTTGAAAGCTACAGGCGCTAAAGTTATTGCTGTTGGAATTAATCTGGAGGATTTTTCTGAGGTCAATAGTATTGCGACCAGTACCAGAGATGTTTTCACTGTGAGTAACAGCAGCTTCTCTTCTCATGCATGTTTGTCACATGTGTGTATGAATATTTAAAATCCCTCACGTGATTTAGGATGTAACGCAATAACAATTCAAAAGTGACCAAGCCACAGTGGCTTCAAAAATGATGAAGGAGCAACAGTAGTTAGATATTTTTTTGTCAGCCAAAGGGTCTTGAGTTTAAATATGCACTATTCACCCCCTTCCCCTTCCCCTCCTCTCCTAAATGAAATGAAGTGCCATGTTGTCCTAGCTTAATATAAGAACCATTGGATTGTCCTGGGATAATCCCATTATGCTGGATGTTGACCACCTACCTACTGAGTGCTGTTTGGTCTATAAAGACATGAAATTAACATAATGTACCCAAACAAAAAAACAAAACACTTGAGTGAAAAAAAAGATCTTTTTAAATTTTACAAATGTGATGAAACAAAAGAGGAGCAGCTGGCTAAGAATTAAGAACTGGACTGTCATGACCCGGATTTGAATCCTCTGTAAGGTCATGGATTTTTGTTTCTATTGTGGAGCAAAAATGAAATCCTAACCAGCTCTGGCCATAATGACAGCAATAGTCATGTGGTCCTGCATTTGCATGTGCTAGCAATGGATAGGATCACTTGGCATGGTTTAGAGGGCTTATCCGTTGGGGAATAAAGAACAGAAGAAGACAATTAAGAAACATTAGTTAACTTTGATTAACTTTAAATTTCTGTTACTTTACTAATTTACTTTGTTGTTTTTGCAGATTTCTTCCTTCAAGTTATTTGAGGATGTCAAACTAGATATCATTGAAAGACTATGCTCAGGTGTCGAGTAAAACATCTTAAGCCAGATGTCTGAAGAAAAACACGAATACATTGTGGACTGTGGCATGTCATATGTTTTTAATTTCAGACTGAGTATTGTAATGAGTTTAGTAACTTGAAGGACAGCATATATTTCCGTCCATTTAAAAGTTTTTGTTTCTACTATTTTTGTATGTATGTGTGTTGTTAAAAGCTGTTGTTAGAAGCGGTTATGCAGGGCCGTTGCCAGGATTTGTCACACTGCAGGCTAATAAACAGCAAGTATTTTCTTTCAATTTCTGTGCCATTAAAACAGCAATCTAGCCTGCCATTAGGCCATGATTAAATTAATAGAATCTTCTTTCTTATTCTTTACCTGCGTTTGACCTTAAAACATCAATCTAGCCTGCCAATGCCATCAGGCAATAATTGTTAGCATCTTCTTTCCTTTTCTTCACCTGTGCTTGACCTTAAAATGGTGGTTGCCACAATGAGCTGTGGTTTACTAGACTAATACCTAAAATATCCTAATTCAGCACATCTGTAATAAGTCATCTTTTAGGACTTGCTTGTTGAGGCGGCAGTCAGTCTATTCACACCCCCCCCCCCTCTCCCCGTGTTCCCTTTTACAAATTAGATTCCAGAACCGACACAGGGGAAATTTAAGTCCCAGCTACAGATTTGTTTGACATTCTAGTTCCACTCATGGTATATTGCATCATCGAGCATTTTACTGTGTATGCTAAGTATCTCACTTTTAAAATCAGTTCTATAATCATATTATCAATCCTATTGTAAAACATATCTTTTCTAATGAATGTCTTTTTTTAAAACATATATTACTTTGCTGAGTATCAAAATATTGTTCAAACCTGTGTTTTGTACCATCAGTTTTATTTTAAAACATATAAAACTTTGCTAGGTATCAAAACATTATCATACTTGTGTTTTATACCATCAGTTTTTTTTAAAAACATATCTTCTGTACTGAATATGTATCTTCTTTTAAAACATATATTACTTTGCTAAGTATCAAAACATTGTTCAAACTTGTGTTTTATACAGTTTTTAAAAAAAACATATCTTCCATGCTAAATATCTTTTTTGTTGTTATCCTTGTTTAAAATATATCTCTCGTGCTGAAAAATATTACCCTTTTTTAAAAAAACAAATTTTAATATGGTAAATATCAATGCTTATTATGAAACACTGAAAAAGTCCATTTTTATTTTATCAAAGCATATCATTAATGCGTAATATCTTTTGTTCTCAGTAAGCATATCTCACATACAGAGTATGAACTCCTTAATAACAACTCTTATGTGCAGAATTACATATTTACAGAAGACAATAGAACTGTATGTATTGAGGATTTTTGAGTGTTTTTTTTTTCTGTTGGAGTGACTTAACTCTTTGAGTCCCAAGGAATGCACCATACGTTCATATGTTCCTACCTAGAGGCCCAATACACACAAGATGTGCCAATTTTAGGTCTCTCTTGACTACCCCTTGGGCCTTTGATGCTAAACCCCCTGGGACTCAAAGAGTTAAGATGTCAGCAGCAAGTGCATACAACCATAACAAGCAAATACCACGAGACAGATAAATGCCAAGAAGAAAATATGTTGAAGTATTTACTGACAGCCTGAGAGACAATACAGCAAATCATAAAACCGAGGATGAGTGGATGGGCTACCTGTCATCTTGTAAAACTGTGATGGCTAGTGACAGTAATCAGATATTGACAAAAGAAAGGAGATGGGAACTAGATTAGGTACATGCTCTTTGTTGAAACTTAGCTCCTGTGTTCTAGGGCCTCAAGGGTGGAGGGGAAGGGGGAGATAGACCCACTGCTGCCCTAACAAACACGTCATAAAAAGCACTGATTCCTCCAGATCCTTCTGCCAGGGTTTAGAACCAGCGAATGCTAAAAAGAAGAAATTAAAACTTAGTGTAAAAGACTGTATCGACGCTTTTAGCCTACACTAGTCACTAAGATATGTATGTTTGATGGCATCTTTACATCGTTCCAGATAAGAGTGTTATATTTTACCCAAAGATACCTCATCTTCTAGCACAAACATGGCAGTATTGTACAAAATCAGCAGGATAACCCCCCTTCCCCATCTTTCTGGTCTACTTTTTTGTAAATACTCTTTAAAGAAAAGTAGCATCAGGACTTGAGGAAGAAATAATTCTGCAGAAGCTGCTCGATCAAAAGAGAAGTACATTGTCCATCTGAAAGCTTCACTCTTAAATCAGCTTCTAACCACTAATAAGGGCCTAGTTTGCCTTGTTAGAACATGTAGTTTTTAGGTTGTGTATCCTATTCCTAGGACAGGACTTACATTCTCCCTGTCTCTGAAGCCATTGCCTAAGAAATTGTCTTCTTCTTTGTGTTCCCATGTGCAAACTTTAGTGTAAAGTTCTGGCTGTTAGTCCCCTTCTGGACTTTGGTCTGGTTTTGAAACTTGAGTTTTGTGTGCTTATCTGTTGGACCTGTTCATGTCTCCAGTCCTGTCTACACACTTTCTGATCTAGGTCAGAGTGGATGTCAAGTTCTACTGCTTTCTTCGAAGAGAGTCTCTCATGTGACCAAGGCTCAGGCTGTGGGTAAAAGGGGGAGGGGGGAGGATTTGGTTAAGGCAGCAGTTCTAAGATGTTCAGGGGTTATTAAAAGCTGTGTATGTAGTATAAAACATGTGATATCAGCACTGGTATAACTGGTGGCAAGACAACGCTCCGAAGTAGAAGAGTCTGAGAAAGTATAAATGAAAGATCAGCTAGTGTGCAGATAGGCCGAGAAACGTGAACTGGACCCATCCACTATACAGATCTGATTTATATGTATGCAGACTGCGCTCCCACTTCAAAGGAAACCCCCTAACTAGTCGACATTCACAACATGCTGTGGGTGGCAGTAGATCCCCCTCCCCCCCACAATAGAATCCCTGTCCCCACATGGACATGACAAGGAAAGGATACCATTCGAAAATGCCCTTACTTGTTCTCTTATTCTCTTTCCCTACATTCCACTCTCCCACCTGCATTGCACTCTCTCCCTACATCGCATGCTTACCCCTACATTCCCACTCCATCTTTATCTCTGTCTCTGTCACCCCATCGAACTCTCTTTTTATTTATCCATACATGAGCTCTTTCTCTCTTTTCTTTCACACAATTTTTCAAGACTGCTTTGCCTTTCTCACTTATTGTGTAGCTAAATTTAATAGATAGTCAATGTTTGTTATTAGTGTTACAAGGAGAGAAAAACTTTGAAACTTACCAACTGTCAATTGAGTATAAAAGATAAACAGGAGTAAATACGTGTAATGGTTTGGGGACATGGCGAAGCGAGAATTTAAAAAGATTACGAACGCCTGACACATGATGTTGATGTGTTGTCACTTCCCAGCATGGCACACGATGATAACTTCACATAAAACAGCATGATGTAATGATGCTACTGCTTGTATGTTGTTCCAATTCATGTATGTATTCATTCATTCATGCATGTGTTTGTAGGTTAAATCAGCGGATTGAAACAATTACAACATTTTGTAATGAATTCTGGAAGTCTTCGGTTCCTGTATCTGATATATATATATATATATATATATATATATATATATATAATATATATATATATATATATATATATATACACACACTTTTATTGGTGAGATTTCCTTGTGGGTGTGTATGTGTGTGTGCGTTTGCTCATTTTGTGAAGTGTATGAAAGAGAAAGAGAGGGAGAGAGCAATATGTAAGGAAGTAACTTTCCTTCTATTAAGAAGCTGTTTCTATAAAGAAGCGTCTTCTATATTGTCCTGGGTCTCTCTCTCGTGCTCATTCTATCCAGGTCGTTGTCTAGGGGTCACTAATGTAGAGTAGACGAGACAGACTATCTGCCATCAACGATCACACTACTCCACATCTTAGTCGACGATGACGATGACCAGTTCCATCAAATATACAACAAGAATTATAATTTTGAGAGCATGCATCTTCCCTCTGGCTACATGCGGATGTGAGTCGTGGACTATCTCTAAGTCCTTAGGAAAAAAAATCGTTGTTTTAGGGGAAATGCTATAGTAGATTCTTTATATCGAGACAGATCTATCTGCCATATAACGGGGACATCACTTTGTCCACATCTTAGTGGACATCTCTTTGTCTTTATATCAGATGAATCTCTTTGTCTT